GGGGAGGGGGTGGGGAGGACCTTCAGTGGGAGGGGGTGGGGAGGGGGGTGGGGAGGACCTTCAGATGTAAGCACAGGTAACAGTTTCCCAAGGAGAGCTCCAGTTGTCTGAGAAACACTAGCAAGAACTTTTCAATAGTATTTTATCAAAAGCTCTCTGCACGGCAAAGGGAAGAGCTAGCGGAATGAAGAGCCTACTTACCATGAGGGAAATCTTGGGCAGCTACTCATCCAAGAGGGAATTAATAGCCAAGATATAAAATGAATTAAAAAAACTGAACAATAGGAACAAATAATCTGATCAATAGACACTTTCTAACTGAAGATGGACATGTGATCAATGAATATATGAAAACATGTTCAACATCTTTAGCCATCAGCAAAGTATCAATCAACCAAAAGTGATGAGATTCCCTCTCGCCTTAGTCAGAATGGCTCTCATAAGAAAACAAAAACCAACAAGGATCCCGGGAGGAAAAGGGAACCTTTAAACATGATTGGTGGGACTGGAAATCACTCCAGTGTGGAATGCCTGCCTCCCCCTCAAAATTGAAATTAGGGGCAGAGAAAATGGCTCAGTAGTTAGGAGTACTAGCTATTCTTCCAGGGGACCCAGCTGTAACTCCCAGTCCCCCGAAGGTGGCTCACAACCATCTGTAAGGCCCTGAGTACCCGATATCTTCTTATGGCCTCTAAAGACACCAAGTATACATGGAATGCACTGACAAACATGGAGACAACACAGTCATCTGCATAACATTTTTAAGATTGAAAACAGAATTACTATGTAACTTATCTATACCACTTCAGAGGCTATACCCAAAAGAATGGATCTCAGCTTAATTAAACTCCACTTCTATGCTCAGCTGGGCACTACCCACAATACCCAAGTTAGGGAATGGGCCTGGGTGCCTACCAATGGATATTGAGTAAAGAGTAGACAAAGTATGTACAACACTTTAGACATAAAGAACAGAACTGCCATTGCAGGGAAATGGATGGATTTGGAAATCACCATGTTTATGAAAATAGCCCAGTCTCGAAAGCCTGCTCTCACATGCGGGATCCAGGCAGGAAGAGACATGAAAAGAGAGAGAACTATTAGAGATTTAAACAGAGAAAGGGAGGAAGACTATCTGAGTGGGTGATAGGAATGGAGGCCTTCAAATGATGTTATACACATCCACACAAGTATCACCCTGAGGAAATTCATACTCAGCACAATAAGTACTCGCTAGTAAAAATGAATTTTAAAGAAGAAAGATCAAGGCTGAAGATGAGCTCATTTGGTAGAAGGCTTGACAGCTATAACTGGGCAGGTGGTGCGTGGCTGTAACCCTGACACTTGGGACATGAAGGCAGCAGGGTCAGAAAAACAGGAGAGAGAGAGAGAGAGAGAGAGAGAGAGAGAGAGAGAGAGAGAGAGAGAGAGAGAATCAACTTGGTTTGCAAGGTTCATTGAGGTACATATAAATTTTATACACAGAAAGTACTGGTTTTTCCCAGAGTTCAAATATCTAAGATGACTCCTCACTCCTATTCACTAGATTCTGGCAATATGATTTAAAAAAAAAATAAGATAGATTTGTTTTGTTTTGTTTTGTTTACGCTTTGCTTAAATAGTGGAAACATGTGAATGCTTAACATCATATGAAAACGTGCAAGCATGCCCTACAAATAAAAGGAAGACAAAACAGATATTATGTCACACATGTGCTATGATAAATATCAAAGATATCAGACCTTTTTAAAAGAAGTTTTTTTTAATATAATAATAGAGACTCCTAAAAATGAAACTGAGCGATTATGCCTGGATTCCCAGCACCCAGTAGGCAGAGGAAGAAGATAAATCCCACACCTGAGCTACATAGTGAGACCCTGTAACAGAAAAAAAGATCCCCCACAAAACGAAAACCATATTCCAGCAGAACTGTCCATTCCCCCAGCACTGTCTACATCAAGGCCTAATATAAAACTACAGCAACCGAGGTGGTATGATTCTGAAAAACATCAGTGAATCAACAGAATTCAATTACGTTTACACATAGACCCTGCAAATGCAGCCCTCTGACCTTTGAAAAGCATCAAAGCAATTCAGTTGGAAAATGTTCTTTCAGTACATGGTGCAGAACAAGCCAAAAAGCATGAAAAAAAATCTTCATAAGAATCTTAGCTTTTAACAAAATTAACTCAAAACATCACAAATGTGCAATATACAAACTATCACAGAGTCTAAAATGACCTTCATCTTGGCAATGTTTTCTGCGGGTTTTTTTTTTATTACACTTACTGATTTTTGTGCAAATATGCTGCATGGGGTGGGCACTCTTGTGGAGATAGAGGACGGCTTTCTGACGTCAGAGCTCTCCTTCCTGGGGATTCAGTGTTCAGCCTTGGCAGGAAACACCTTTATCACTGAACCATCTTGCTGCCCCTAAATCCCATTATTTTCCTTCACGTATGAAAGTCCAAGGGTAGATAATCTGGGGACGGCATGTTGATTCTGCTCCCTTTTCACCAGGCATGGCACAGTCTAGCCTCAAACTTGTGGCAATTCTCCTGCCTCTGTAGGAGCTACAACCATGCCTGGCTGATTCTGCTCCTTAATGTTCCCACCCAACAAGGCTGCCTCTTGTTCACCACTCAGCTACTCCTGCTGTATAGTCCTCTTCTCCAGGGTTGTTGAGGGTAGCAAGGTTTATCATGTCGCCAGCTGGACAAGGCTGACCTCAAATTCTAACAAGGATAAATGGCATAAGATTATGCTTAATCTTGAAAAGGTGCTCCTTTACTCTGTGAGAAGAAGGGCTCAAGTGACCCCACAGAAGAGGAAGAGTTGGGTGTGGGGCAGTAGACCATGAGAGGAAGCCTGGTAAGGTAGAGCTAAGGCTTGAAGCCCCAGAGACCCAAAAGGGACGGTAGGAGCTTCACCTGCTCCCAACTCCAAACCCCTGTCACGTAGCCACAGAGAGTATTGTGGCCATTGGTCACATAGGGACAGAGCCCCCAAGCCCCTCCTCATATAGATGAGGCATCTCAGGCCAAAGCAATAGGGAGAACCTGCTGTCACAGCCAAGGTAGCTTATAGAAGACCAAGTTTACGTTCATAGTACCAGAAGGGTACTATGGGATGGTGCAGCAAAGGCATGGAAGCCCAAGGAGAGAGAGGAGAGCTCATATCTTGAAGAGCAAACAGGAAGCAGAAAAGGCAAACTGGGAATGGTAAAAGTCTTCGAAACCTCAAAGCCTGCCCCCAGTGACATACTTCCTCTAGTGAGGCCACACTCTCAAACAGCACATCTGGGGGCCAAGTGCTTAAATGCCTATTAATTAATATATATTCTTACTTATACATATAATGTTAATAGTGACATAAAATTTCTTGGTAGCCCATCATAACTATGGACTTAACCAAATGCTTGGCTAACTAGTAGTTTAAAATATTTTAATGTACATATCACTTATACACTAAAGATCAGTGCCTTAAAGAACTATATTAAGAGTATTCACATACAAGTTTAGAACATTTTATTTAAAATGAGTATTCGTTGTCTTCTGTACATAGTTATCTTTTAATAGGACCACATCCACCTCCTGACTTAGAATCTCACTACATGCATCAGTTCCAGCTTAACGTTACACTCGAGGTTTCTAAAGCACACTGTGCGCCTCCTGGCGGCTCCTTCCCTTGGCTTGTGTCTCTTCTCTGTCGTGACCTGCCAAATCCTGTCAACTTTTCAAAGCTTGATTCCGTCCTTCCAAAACAGCCCCCTTATAGTACAGTCTAATGATACAGTTAATGATACAACCAGTTAAGAGCATAGCTCCAAAAATGGTTGCAAACAACACACTTCATCCTTGAAACAGTCCTGTGAGGACTTTCTCCCAGCACTACTCTTCCCAGATCCCCCCCAACCCCCACCCCATGCAACTTTCCGTTCTCTTGCTCTCAAAAAAGAAAAAAGTTGAAAAGCAAAGCAAACAAACAAACCAAAAAGAAAAAAAGAAAAAAGGAGAAAAAAAATCAAAAATAAATAAATAAACACACAGAGTCCATTTTACATTAACCAACTACTCCTGGGTGTGGGGTCTGGGACCTGCCCTGGCGAGTAGTAGATACGTTCAGTGACACTTCACTGGAGAAGACAGATTTTCCTTTCTGAGCAGCTATCTATTGCACAGCCTTCTTGGTTGGACTTCCCCTTTGTGAGGATCTCTGCAAACACCTCAACCAGCAGGGTGTTGTTCCAAGAAAGGCAAGAAGGAAGTTTGGCTCAGCATGACTCAGTGGACAGTTTTCATCCAAACTTCTGGAGTCTGACACCGAGTAGTTCATTTTAGTCATATTTAAGCACAGCACAATTTCAAAATAGTTTAGTGGTAATTAATCAGTCCTGTGTGTACAGAAAGCTTAAGAGATGGCTGTATTGAAACTCTTTTAAATGCAAGCAACATCTTCCATACAGATAGCTTCTCTGGATTAACTGAGGAAGCAGTCTCCAGGTAAACAGTGGTCCTGATGAGGGTGGCAGGGAGGACAGAGTGCGGATTGACTGACGTGAACATGAATCTGAGGGAGGCGGTGTGGCCTGGCCATACCGATATGCAGAGGCCACCAGTTGTGAATCACACTGTTCCTGCATTCTGGGCAGAAACAGGTTATACATCTCTCCCCTTGAAGAGGCAGTCCCTCGTGTTGAACATTCCTTGTTCCCCGCACACTGGCCTACAACTTCTTACCCCCTTTCTCAGTGCTGGGCCTCTGTCTGGTTTGAACCTGTGCCATCACAGTCTCTGTGTGTTCACATGTGCATGGGTCCTGTTGTGTCTGGAAGATGCTTCCTGGAGTCATCCATCCCCTCTCACTCTTAGTCTTTCTGCCTCCTCTTCGGAACACATCCCTAAGCCTCAAGGGGAGGGGTTTGATTACTATTCTTAAATACAGATAGAGATTATAGTATTAGGTTACTCAAGAGTACACAGAAGTAAAATAACCATGTTTTATAGCAGCTAATAAAATTATATTGTGTTGGGTGTGTTGGAATTTTTCTCTCTCCTCTCTCTCACAAACACGCACACCCACAACCTCATTACACAGATGCTACATCCATGGACTGGATCCTGTGGTCCTTTGGTCGCCCACGCTAGTACTGGTATGACAGGATTTTTGCTATGTACATTGCAAGCTTGTTTCAAAAGTATTTAATAAATAAATAAATTCTACCTGCTCTTGTTACAAAAAGCTGGCTATGTAAATTATATATAAATAAGCTAATCTGTTTCACCATGCAGTCATTTTTCTTTTTGCTTTTTTGATTCTTTGTGAGTTCTACATCGTGTACCCCAGTCCCATCTCTCCAGCCTTCTATATCCACTCTCTGCCCTTGTAATCTGTCCCTGCCAAAGAAAGCAAAAAATAAAAACAAAAAATAAAAAATTTCCATAAAAGCCCCTGTGTGTCACAGTGTCCCACAGTATACCTGTGTGTCCACACATCTGTACTTACAAATGTTCATTGCAGTGAGTCATTGGTCTGGCTTGAAGCCTCTGGCTTCTGGTACACTATAAATACTGGATCCTCACTGGGACCTTTCTTAGAAACCCTGTGTCATGATGTGTCTTAGATTGCCCCGTGTCATGAGGATCCTTCAGCTTTAGTTCTGTAGGATCAGCCCCTTCACATGCTCGAGCGGATCACAGATGACGTAGATGCTGGGGTGGGCCAACTCAAAGCCCTGGATGGTAGCCAAGTTGGTCAGCCCACCTGTTCTCCTGTTCCTGAGCCAACCAGGGAGAGCTCTCCCACTCACTGTTGTGCTCTTGGGGCTGGCTCTACTGTGCTGCCCAGGCAAGGTGCAAGCTAGTCTCCCGAGTGCTACAACCTTCAAGGAGCAGAGCTAGTTCTCCTCCACCCACGCCATCACATAGCTGGTGAGGATCAGGGCCAGCTCTCCCGTGCTCATGAGTTTTTCTATCTCTATGTGTTAGAAAGCATTATACCATAAATATTAAACATACATACATAATGAAATTTGTTTTTGCAGAAAAAGAATATAAATGTGGAACTAGGTCACAGAAATTGGAGGCAAATGTGGCAAATGTGAAAGTCCTGAAGCAATGCGTACTTCTAATAACTTAATGAACTAATAACCCACTAAGTAGATATGCATACTTTAGCCATGGAAACAATTTACCTAGTCACATGATGAACTCAGATAAGTCTCAAGTTACATTCAATGTCACTATTCAAATTTTGAGTCATACTACTCTACACTGATACAATAACTTAGTATAACGTGGTAGATAAACCCCACAAAACAATAGGTTTATGTCTTACTGTTCTCCACACTGTGGCAAAACATCCGACTAAGGAATGTAAGCAGGTTAGTTTACTGTGCCTCATAGTTTTGGAGGATTCAGTCCATCACAGTGGTAAAGGCATGGGGGCTGGAGTGAGAGGCGGCAGGAGTTTACAGCCCATGCCTGTGCACAGGAGAACCAGAAGCCAGAACTCATGCCAGAATCAGAAGCAGCTGTAACCTTCAAGGTCTGCTCCCACGCAATCAGGAGGTTTGCCAGCTCCAAACCACCCTAGATGATATACCAAAAACTCAGAAGGCTTTGGGCTTTCATGTATGAGACAGGATGAGTTTCTTTCTCAGAGTGTGCTGTAGACTGAGATTGTATTTCTTCTTAGAAGAAACACCGCTGTTCCAGGCATACACTTTGTCCATGAGTTCAACATGGAGATCCACGAGTGAGCGTTTCCTAGAGGAAAAGAGAAAAGCAGAGTTTAATGATGTGTAAACTCCAAAGAGAAGACAGATTGTCATTAGGGTAGAATCAGCGAACGGGTATGAAAGTCCTTTGAAACGCATCCTTTTTAATGTTCCGTATGTTGCTTAGCAAATAATCCAAACAACTTGGCAGTACTCTGGCCCAGTGGCCAGAGTCTCCTTCCACAGAGACAGTGGAATTTTATTCTGAGAACACACCAGCTAGGGGATAAGCTACCTGGACACCCCATGCACCCTGGAGCATCTACTCTGGAATGCTGCACCCCTCCCAGCCCCACACATCCTGCTGAGCCACCACTGAGGAGTCTGAGAAAGCTAGAGCAGCACCTGAGTCCTTGGAATATAAGCATTTAGCTGGTAGCTCAGCAACATTGCAATCCTTTGTAATTAGGGAGTAAATTTTATTTTATTTTATTTTATTTTATTATTTTATTTATTTATTTTTGGTTTTTTCGAGACAGGGTTTTTCTGTATAGCTCTGGCTGTCCTGGAACTCACTCTGTAGACCAGGCTGGCCTCGAGGGAGCAAATTTTAAAAGGCCAATTAATCCCATACTTAAACATTGTAGCTTCACTCCGTTAACTAGAAGCTAGCACAGTGGTGGTTCCCTCCTCCTAATAAACATCAAAAATGTTTACAGTCATCCCATTATCTGTGAAAACCAAGACCATCAGTGGGACGATATCTGAAATCGGGCCAGCACTGAACCCTACAGTGCATACACTGTGCTTTTTCTATAATACACACCTATGTAAAGCTTAATTTATGTTAGGAGAGTAAAATAAATATATCCAAAATACAAGCTGACTAATGCAAAGTGTTCGTAAGCTGTGCCGAGTCTATATCATCCCCCGAAGCAACTCTAATTGGGGAGGGGAAGTCTCTGTTCTGTGGAAGTCCATCGGACCAATCATGATGGTGATATCCATCTTGGTAGCAAGGCAATAAACATGTGGTCAAGGATAAAGGTGATGGGCACAGACCTCGGTGGCTCACCTGTCTTGCTTCAGCTGCTGGGAGAGTTTCTGCAGATACACAGAGGAAGAGCTGGAGGACTTCTCCAAGTGAGATACATCTGCTGTGCACAGGCTCCAAAAGATATCAGCTTCTGGGTGAGTTGTGCAAGGTCTGGGATGCAGAGGCTTAGAATCCACATTTTTTATTGCTGGCCCATCTACCTCCAGGCTGCTATCTTCCAAGTGGCTGCCTAACGACTCGTAGTTCTGAATAAAAAAGAGCTTCGGTTTCCCTCTGAGAGAAGGGCACGTGTCCCCCGTGAACATGTTCTTGACACAATCCAAGGAGAACCCTGAGTGAAGCTCATCTGTGCCCATCATGCTTTGAAAGCCTCCTCGGGTCACCAGAACACATGCAAAGCTGTCATAGTCTTGATGCTGGGTCATACAGGCGAATCGGCGAATAATCTGGGGTATTTCATGTGACCTGGGAAACAAGAAAGGCTGGACACGATAGCCCAGGGAAGTGAAGGTCTCTTGAAGATATTCTGCAGAAAACCAAGAGAAAACAACACAAAAGTGAGAAGCGCCAAGAGACATTGGGTATGACGCCTAGCCTGACCTGGTCTCCATTACATATGTGTTTCTATGTAAGGATACTCTGGGGCCTCCCAAAGAAACAGCTAAACATGAAATGTGCAGCTGCTGTGCCCCAGGTTTCTCATGAAGGCACATTTCCTGCAATACCACTTTTTCTGCACACAACCAAGACTGAATCCACCCAATGCCACCAAACCAAGAAAGAACAAAACTGCTGTCTTGTCAACCAAACTGAAGTAGAAGGTTCATTCTTCAAAGGGTTCTTTTCTCAAAGTACTTAGGAATGAGCAGTGTCCACGGGGTGTAAATCCAGGTGTGCGTTTAAATAGCAATCTAGGTTATAAGTTTCCTCCCCTTGCTGTGGACCTATACAGAGGCCCTTAGATCTAAGTTGTGACTATTTACAGACTGCCCAGTTTCACTCCTAGTCTCCAGCCATCTTGGACTGCCCTTGCCATAAAAGGAAGTATACAGTAAGTGGTAGAGCAAGTTTAAGATCTGCAAGCCTTTCTGACCCTGACCTTGGACTGCAGGGCCATAAGAAAGGTGAGACTCCCTAGCTTTAGAGAAAGTGTTAACAGCCGCCAACCAGAAAGAGCACTTTAAGGATTAAGCAATATAAATAATGATATGGTGCTATTATAAATAATATTCATTCTTATTCACATATAAAATATGTTCACATATTCTAGAAGTTTCTGTGGCTCTAGGTCCTATCAAGTTCACTTTTTTCTCATCTATTCAGTTTGTTTTTACTAAGAGAATAAACACAGCCTCTTAAATCAATTGATAATAAAAAATGGGAATTTCTTTCTCTTCCCCATCACCCACTGCTTTTCTGTGTTTAATCTGACCAATGCCTCTAGCTCAAAATTTCCTGGGCAAAAAAGCTGCTTTGTCCTAAACCCAGAGACTCAGCAAGTATCTCTCATTCAGACTGTCCATCTACCTCTCTGGATTTGTTTTTATGTCCTGTCTCCAATACCAACCCCTCTCCAGTGGTGTGGGGTTTCCAGAGGTCTATCCTAAGATAGCCCCACACAGTAACTACAGTAGTCTTGCTTCTGCTGAGAGCAAATGTCTGAAATAAGTTAAGACTGCACAGTAAGGGATCAAGGGGAGAAAACAACTGATGGTCACATGACTACTGAGAACCAGCTCTCAGCGAACTGTCCAGCCAGGATCCAGATGGAATGCAGACAATCACAAGCAAGCCAGACTCACAGTTTCAGCCTTCCTGCCCACCCAGCTTAGCCAACCACAAAACTATAAATGCAAGAGAGGAAAATCTCAGTTTGTCGTCTAGGTCCTTGGTGAGATGTGGAAGGACAAAATAAAGATGAAAAGGAACACGACTTTGCATAACCAATTATCTGTGTAACAGTCACCAGGCAGGTAAGAACTGGCTTGAGAGTTTGAAACTGAATTTTCTCAGCCTATGAGCAGTGTCTCTGTATACATAGTATATACTAGAACTTTCCACAGCCAGCATTGTTCCAAGACAAAGTGGTTTTAAAATATGTTCATGAAGTCTTACATGAGAGCTCAGGAGGCAGTGTCTTGGAGAGGGCCACATGTGGGACAACTGGAGCCTCTCAGCAACATCCTTCAGCTTTCCAGGCAGCCAACAAATGGCTCCTCCAGTCCCAGGCAAGCCTTCAGTTGGCCCCAGCAGACTCTGAGTGCCTCACCAGAGACTCTAAGCCAGAAGAATTCCCAAAGTCCTGACCCACAAAAACTGTAAGAGATATAATCAAATGGATAGTTTCCTTAAGCTACTTAGTTGTCGAATGATTTGTATACATTATTAGATAAATAATGCCCTCTCATCAGTAAGAATGACATAATCATCTTTACTTAAGACTGAAGTTATACATACTTTTATCCTCTGCTGACCCACCCTGGAAATTAATTATACTCTCTAACGTTGAAAAGAGATAGAAAAGTACAGACAGTAAGCTCACGGTTAGCAAGCATCTTATTAAGGAAATGGGGGACATGGTTTACAGGTTGCTGATAACCTATTAGATTCCGCTCTCTCCTTCTAAGATCTGGGTGGTAGAAATGACCAACCACACTGACCCACCCTAGCCATCTCCCTGGGGTACAAGCGAGGTTTAAAGCACAGAACTTTACCCAGGTTGAGTCCAAGAAAGGAAAGCCAGAGAAGCTACTTTAGGACTTTAACCGCTTGGCAGGAAATTGTAATTACCCCCGGATCTCATGCCAGGAGGAGGAAAGGGCTGAAGCTTGGTGACTGGTCGGACAGATGTGCAGGAGAGACTGGAACAGACGCATCGATGACCAACAGGATCAGACCTTTTCTAGGACAGCTTAGTTATGCAAACCTCCTGCCTTCTACTTAACCCTAACTCATGGATTAGGGGTTACCAAACCTCTTTTTCCTCTTCTCAATGTGTCCACACTAACTAAATTTCCTTTTTCTGCTTTTTGCTGTTAATTGTGTTTTTAACTGGAATGTTGCAGAAATCTTGCTAGTGGCGCAAGGCTAGTAGCAACTCCTGGGTAAGAGGACTGCAGCCCCAATGCTAGCTCCTTTCTCTTGCTATGGCGTACTCTCTCCTCTAGGGGGCAGACGTAGCCAGGGAAATGCTGGCTGGCTGGCTATCTTCAAGACCCTCTTTACTGGTAAAGCTTTGGTAGAAAGCCCAGTGAGACCTCTTGCCCAGGCTGATGTGCCCGGGTAGAGCAAAGGCTGCTCCGTGCCTTCTAACACCTTCCTTCTCCTCAGGTTCAGTGGCTCAGCTTCAGCTTCAGAGGAGCTAAGTGTAGGATAAGCATCTAAAATCTAATGCACAAAATCCTTCCCCAAAACAAGAGGGGAAAGGTAAAGGTCCCAAATGCCACCAAGAAGAACCCAAATCTGTATGGTGCTCGGGACAAAACAGAGCAATCCTCCAATACGGCAAGGGCAAGTGAGTCAGCAGTCAGCTGTGGACCATCACGGCTGGCGCTTCCTCTATTAGACGGCAAGGCCAGGTCGGCAAGGATGCCAGCTGGAGTGGCAGATACATCAACATTCCTTTCCTCCTTGGGCCAGCAAAGACAAGCATGTAGGCCTGTCTGATTTATACGCTGTAAGGAATGGGGAGGGGGGATCATGTAACTATGAGTAAGTTAGAGCCTCCATTTGTTTATCTATGAAATGGGACTAATTCTAACACCTAAACCAAAATGGTGGAACCCAGTGGGGTTTCTGTAAAGATACTTCCAAACTGCATTTATTCAAGCATAAATGATTAATTTTAAAGGAGATGAAAGCGGCATATCAACCCGTAAATCAGAGACCCTGCCAGGCATCTTCTTCATAAGTGCCACGGCTTACGACTTGGATGGAGGTCTCATTATCCTGAATTAAAACGGTCTCAGGGCAGACTCTGTGTTCCATGTATGGCTTAGCTACCATACCAGTGCTCAGAAATACAGGAAGACATGATTAGGTGCTGGGGAAAATAAACCTTTAACAAAATACAGAAGCACCGCTTCTCCTTCTCCTCGGCCTGGACACCCCATGTCCAACCCAGCTGCAGCTCGGCAGCTACAACTGCTTCTTAGAAACCATGGATATTAATACAAGGCTGCCAGTAACCAATCACAGGCTTGGGAAAATGCCAGGACCTTGTTCACTTAGAATTCATTCATTTATTCATTTAGAATTCATTTTGAGTTAAAAAAGCAGATTGACCTCAGCACTTTCTAAATAAATACATAGAAAAAATAAGAGGTGACGTCTCACCAGTCTATTTATGATCAGCTACTGAGTGCCCTTCATAAGCCAAGACAAGGTGAATGAGTGAAACCCAAAGTGGGCAGGATACCCTGGGTGGGGACAGGAGTTCTCCACCAAATCATACAGGGAAGGACAAGGCTAACGTGGACTTCTGAGTGTGTGCTCATACGGAGGTTACAGGTCAGCCTTGGGTGCCCTCCGTCCATCTTGTGTGAGAGGCTCTCTTTGCTGTTCTGTCCTATGTCTGTCAGGCTAACCAGCCTATGAACTTCCAGAGGTTCTCTCGTCTCTCCATAGGAGAGCTGGGATTACAGGCACTACATGTTGACCTTTATTTGGGATCAAGGGATTTGAACTCAGGTCCACACATTTGTAAGCATGCACCTTTACCCAATGAGCAATCTAATCCTAAAATTAAGTTCCTTCCTTCCTTCCTTCCTTCCTTCCTTCCTTCCTTCCTTCCTTCCTTCCTCTCTTTCTTCTTTCCATCCTTTCCTTTTTTGTAGGCTTGAGAACAATTCAGTTTTTAATTAAAAAAAAAAAAAAAAGCCCAGGGCGAGAAAGCTATAAAACTCAGCAGCTACCAGAAACAGAATAGGGAAGGGAAGAAAAGGAACATTTTCATGTCATTTGAGCCAACATGGAGATCTGACACATGACAGAAAGCAGCCACCTGATATTTGTGGCTTCTCTATGGGATGCTAGATGCATATACTCTGCACCGGGAGGGGAACCAACTACTGTGCCCACAAACTTGAGTTTTACTAAGTTGCCTTCATTGTCTTACCAGAAGCTAAGACAAGGGACACAGATCAAGCACACAGCTCACTGGAAAAGAAAGGTAACAAATGTGTGCACATGGATGACTGAATGTCTTATAGTTCAGTGGGGTCAGAGGACAAATAAGTGGTCACTGACACAAAGGGCAGGGTGGTCTCAGACACTGGAGCATTGTGGGAAAAGCTGTAACTTAAGTCAGAGCCTGAAACACCAGGGCAAAGGAGAGGAAAGTCCCCTACACAAGCTGCTGACAGGGCAGATGTTGGTGAGGAAAGGCAGGGCCAACTGGAACATACCAACTTTGCACTTGGGTGCCTAGGCTAGCCAAGGCCTCACTGCTCCAAGCACACACTCAAAGCTACAAACCATCTTTTATTGCTGGGCGGTGGTGGTGTACCCCTTTAATCCCAGCACTCA